AGTGATATTATGCGATTTTTTTTTTGGAATTATGCTGGTGTTTTTGACATTATGTAGGTTTAAGATGTTAACTTACCACTTAGTGTACGTGTTGCCTACACGTTATGAGGCTTATTATGAATCTTGGCTCTGATGTAATGTAAAAATCTACTTCTGAGATGGCATTACTGGAGGTCTAAGCTGAAAGTTGTATTGTGTGATGATAATTACATTGGGTTCTTGTCTCAAATACACATAATTGAGATTCATAGCTAGAAATTAGTTGCGCATCCACTTTTCTTATCCATTCTGGAAATTACATATACAAATTTGCTAAATTTCAAAAAATGAGAGATGAGAAATAATTATATTCACTGTACACTGTCGAATTACAAGGCCATATACCATGCTAACAGTAATTACCCACCACGCGAGCGCGGTCATGATTTCTCGTTCTTCGTAATTTATAACTTTGAACATAACCTCTATTCAGAAAGCACAACATATAAGTAACCCGTCATATTCAGTAATGATTTTCTCACACAGCAAATATCACTGATTTTATACACATGAAGACCAATACACATAATAATCATCCAGATGCGATCTTACTATTCAACCAACTACTTCTCAAAGATAAAACTGCAGACACGGATCACTCATCCTCACAAAACTATGCAACCAATAATGCGTAGTTTAGTTGAATGATTCCTCCACAGATGGACGATCACAACGATCCTAGTGAGCAAACGTGGAATGACTGTTTGCGCCCTAAAAACTACCTAGTCTGCAAGATGACATCTTATAGGTTTTTTTTGACGTTTTATAGGTTTTAGACATGAACCGAATAGCTTCCAGCATCTGCTAACCAAATGGTTGAGTTTTTCAAGTTTCGAAAGGCCCAACTTTATTGCATTCCGGTTCTATTGTATATTTATGTTCTCTAAAAATCAATTTGGTTTAACTCCTCCATTGGCGTTCGCTGGTTGTTTTGGAGATGTTGAGTGTTTGTTCTGTCCTTAGTTTTTTATGTTTATTTCGATTTTATGGATACAACGAACTTTTACAAGGGTAGGCGGCATGAAGAATTATTTCAACGAATTTAGAAATTGATAATCTTGGTCGGCTACAAATTTTACGAAAAAAGTCTGGTCGACAGTGCAAATCTCAGAAATTTGTAGATTTGTATCAGGATCGCAGAAACGACAAGATGCCATAGATTTGAATATCGTGATATCCCAGAGCAGGAAGCAGAGTGCCATTACATATTCTATCTCTAACGAGTTCCGAATCTACCAATTTTACATATTCAGGATGGATTGAAAACCGAGTAAGTGATTAGATGTCAGAGATCAAAACCTTCGCGCCAAACATCAACAGCATAAGCCATAGTATTGATTTACATCTCTTCTCGAGTTTCAGTGATTCCTGGTAGCAACGTGACGTCCACCAAATTTATGAGAAAAGTCCGGACGACAATGCGATTTTCAGAATCGTATAGGTCTGTTTCAGGATCGCAAGAAAACGACAAGAGGTATCGATCCGGTGGATTTGAATGTCGTTCTTATCTCATAGCAGTAGTTTGTATACCTCCTCGCGTTTATGTGAACCTGGTAACAAGACTCCAATCTACTACTTTTACGAAGGACCTGTGGTCGTCAGGATTGTAGAAACGAATAGAATCACAATTTCGCGCCAACATCTCCCATACTATTTATTGCTCTACTGTATTTCAAATGATGAACATACACCTCCTGTGCGATCTCAGACCACATTCCGCTATAATATCGCACATCAATATTATATGAGACAGGTCAGCTTGAGCGCTAAGGATGAATGCGTTATGCAAAGCTGGTCGTGTTGTCCCGACCGCGTCAGTGCCGGGGTCCAAAGGCGAACTTATGTCATGTGACGTCATGACCGACCAGCGATGCGCGAGGCCAGTGGGCTACAGCATGGCAACACAGAAAATGTCATATAAATTATATACAAGTAGCCTATTCTTAGGCATCTGTACACAAAAAAATGAAACACAAGTTGCTCCTTGATCCTTTAATATTTTTGATAAATAAGTACATAGTACCTAATTAAACCTATCGTTTATAACAATATGTATATACATACGTTTTATATAAAATAAGTAATAGTTGTATATTTAACCTATAAGAGTACAAAGAGAATATAGAATAATTTAGTTTTGTATAGGAAAATGAACTTCACCATATCAATGTACTGATAGTGCCACTAAAACGAAACTGATAGCAACATTTCAAAATAACTGAAATTGCCGAAGAATATTCTGCTTATGCAACTGTACTTGATATAAATGGTGTCCAACAATTGACGCAGGATGTTGAATTAATGTATAGACAAAAATTTTGTGTTCTTTAAATAGGTATTTCTATATCGAATCATAAGTTATATGTGTTTTCTTTTTACACTTTTTTACAATTTTAATATAATTGTAGTAGCATAGTAGTCCTTTTTTGCTAGCTCTTTTGAAATTATATTACGGATTTAACCCAGTCACAGCGAACAATACACTGCGATACCGGTTCGATCTGTGTTCATTCGTGTTTGAACCATATAAAGTTTTGTAAAAACGGAGCTTAAGGTATCGGGTACAAAACCATGAGAAACAGCCATGGTGCTTTTCTCGAAAGGCTAATAGATGAACCTGGAAACACCATGATAGGTCCTGACGACCCGACACTGTACCACAGCAATGGAAGACAAGACATCATAGATATGGCGATTCTGAAAGAAATCGACCTGCGCGCGACCACCGTCGGCCCCTGGCAAGAGGGAAGCTCGGATCACAACCCATCTTTCTACATTTGGGCGATGGGACAACACCAGTGGAACAGAGAACAGTGAAGAGAGTGGACCGGCAGCGATTCAGGATCACGCTGCACTACGCACTCGTACCATTGCTTCAGAATGACAGCACTAAAGACATCGAGGAAGCGGTCACGGACCTAGCAGGGAAAATTAAGGCTGCGTTAGAAGCCGCAAGCTCCGATGAAGATATGACGCAACCAAACAGGTTCAGGGAGTGGTAGTAAGGGGAATGCCCATCAAAACCACCTGCCAAGAGATCGGATAAGACTGGGTCAGGCAAGGCTTCCACCCAAAGAGGGTGAATAGGATGACCAGCAGAAGGACTGGCAAAGCGATACCGCTGATTAAAGTAGATCTCCCAAAGGAAGAGACGGGGATCTACAAATTAACGCCGTTTGGCACATGGTGATCCAAGTGGAGGCACTTAGAAAGAAGACTGGACCAGGTCAGTGCTACCGATGCCAGCAATTTGGTCATAGCCAAATGAGCTGCACGGGAGAGCCGCGCTGCGTTAGATGCGCAGGAACGCACAGAGCGGCGGACTGTAAGGTCCCTAACGAAACGCCCGCGAAGTGTACCAACTGCGGGGGAGAGCATCCCGCAAACTTTGGGGGATGCCCAAAGAGGCCGAGTGCAGGGCCAAGGGGTAAGAAGATGACAGCAAGGGGCACAGCGCGAGCAGTGTCAGCACCTAAAAGCATAACTAGGCGTAGTCCAGTTCAGGAGGGCCGTAGTTATGCGTCGACAACAGCTGGGACACCTAAAGTGGCCCAAGCCGCTCAGGCCAGCAGTGCCAAAGACAGCGACGTCGAGAAGCTGACAGACTTTGCCACCAGATACGCATCTCAAGTGATGTAGCTGGTGATGAAAAATCCGGCTGCCAAGAAAGCGTATTTCGCTCATCTGGACCCCCAAGAAAGAGGCCGTCCATAAAGTCGAGAACCGACAGTTGGAAGAAACGTCCACCACGTGCTTCCGCGACGCGTGCGCCATCGAGTCAAATTTCGGGCAAAAGGGGCAAAATTGGGAAGGGGGGATAGCTCGTTCGGCAGCATACACTCGGGGAATGCGCAGCGGCCTGAACCACGCAGCGCCACGCCAGGCCTTCGGGCGGGAGAGGAGGGAGGAGCAGATTGCTCTTCCCCCCACTCCTCAAGGGTTTGAGGTTGCCTGGAACAGGGGTGGTGGAGGGACCGCACAGGGTAGGATGGTGTGTGTGTGTGCATGGGGTCGCCCGTGATCCAACCGAATAATATTTAAGTCTTTTCTTACGAATATTCCGCTGCAGCCGTCTCCCTCCACCTACCTTTCAAGCTTGGCCATTTGTTTTGGTGTGTCATACTCAAAAAAAATAATATTAAATAAGGTAGTAATGCGCATGTCAACAGTGGATAAGGATAACGAGGTTGAACAGAATTCAGGGATATCCGAAATTAATTTATTTTATATAGGTAATGCTACCAAATGTTTTTGACTAGCTATGTCAAAGTAAGTTCATATCAAGCAGAACGAAAAGATTGTCTCGGGATGATGATATCAATTCTTATGTGTATAAGTGTTCCGTAAGGAAACGGAAATAGTGAAATGGTGGGTCGTATGAACCGAGGCCTTTTCATATTTATCGAAGTATAAAAAAAGTTCTAAATTAATCTTTTCCGGATATTACAGTGAAATTCCGCTTCGCGGACACCCCTCTTACACGGACATCTCCTTTAAAAGTGCAGTTTCTCATGTTCCCGACCGACTCTCATATAACTTGCATTATATTAATTCTTTCTTGGATGGACGCGGACACGAGAAAATGTTCTGCTAAAGGACAAAAAACAAAATAAAAGGAAACGCCTTGTCTTATTATTTTTCTGTTGAGAGAATCTCCAATGTATTTCTCAATCGTGCCGCGCGCCATCTTCGCTGGGACTGTCTCGAGTAAACCGGGAATTCAGCGACTTTAGTCTTTCGGTATAACGCAGATTGTGTGGTACATTTCTGCCGTGGAAAAACCCGCTTGGGACCAAGTAACCTAAGAAACAGTGCCAAAATTGCTTCCGCTAAACAGGATTTAAGAACGAAAATATGTGAAGACGAGTCAGGATCACGTGAGACCACACGCGACCACCAAGCGACAACACGGGTCGCACTCAGGTGCGTGTCAGTCATCAGCTGCGTGATTATCTTGTCACCGACGGGGAGGCAGCTATGACTGACAACTTGGCGTATATCGTGGAGTTGCGTAACGAGGGTCTCCAGCTAGCTGTCGTGCAGCTGGGCCTCTTCTCGATAACTGGATAAAAAACCAATTTCCAGACCAGCCGGAGGGTAAGAAGGGGAGAAGAGGGGAACACCCCCCTCCACGAAACTAAGCCCAAACTAGAACAGGGCGGGGTCCAAGGTCTAAGGTTTTAAAAAAGCCCAAGACCTCTATAACAAAAATCGAAGCTCTCTAGTGGACAACATACTATCTGGAACTCAGCTAGATGAGCAAGAAACAACTCCCCCTATTAATGAGGTTGAGCGATTGTATCGTGGGATCTTGGAGTCGCTTGTAAGGGAGGCGACGAAGGTTCATAACAAACCTTTGACGGAGGACTCGAAAACGTTCCTGCCCTTCAGGCAGGACGAAATTGAAAAAGCGAAAACATCGTTGGCCAACTCTGTTATTATATTAGTTTAATGAGCAGGAACTTTGCAATACCTCCTCAGATTGTATAACAAGACTTAACGAAATGTTTAATGTATCTTAACCCCAGAAGAGCACGGGGTACCGTAATTTGGGGTGAAATTGATCTCCAGGGGTGAAATTGATCACCAAGTCTTCTGAAAATGTTTCAAATAAGGTACAAGGTCTATAGTAGTGCTGTTGTTGAGCAAGCGTTAGGAACGGTGACTGAAGAAAGGATGGAGCTTACGACGAGCTTCTCGGGAGTATAACATACCTTTTGGAACACTAAATAATAAATACCATGGACGGCAACATAGAAAAAATGGTGGGCAAACAGTACTTTCCAATAGCGAAGAAAAAGCGATCATTTCCGCAGCAAGTATTTGCGCAGAGTGGGGGTTTCCGTAAGATACAACTGATCTAAGATACTTTGCCAAAAAGTTATTTGGATAGCCAAGACGTAACGTAGCCGTATCTCGGAATAATCTCCCAGGAAATAATTGGGTTTATATATATGCTTCAAAGATATAGCAATGATATCGTGAAAAAGGTAGCTGCAAATATTAAACGCTCTCGAGCTTCTGTGTCAAGGCCAACCATGCAAGATTATTTTACATAATTTACGCCTGACTCTGGATGGTATTCCACCATCGAACGTGTTCAATTACGATGAAACCAATCTACAAGATGATCCAGGAAAGAAAAAAAATGTTATTCAAACGCGGTACCAAATATCCCGAGAGAGTACGTAACTTCACTAAAAGTGCTACCACTATATGATGTGTGGGTCCGCATCAGGTGTTTTACCACCTAGTGCACTGCGGCCGGAGTACCTTTCGCCGCATTCGGGGCAGGCCACGCTTACCGATTCAGGTATAGGCAAGTTACTTGGTATTTCGACAGTCTCGGAGTCTGTTGACTCTGGTGGTGGGGCTGCCGCAGCAGCTCCCACCGGGCACTTGGGGACGTGACACAGTTCCGCATGTTTAGATATGTATATTTTCGAGCACATCCTGCATTTGAATCCCTGTGTTCAGATTTTAGATGTTTAACTTCATCGTTTATGGTCATGTGCAGGATGTTTGTGCTTCTTTTAGGCATAGGGGACATGATCTTTCTGTATAGGGGAGCAAAATTTCAATATCCTTGTCATCGCCATTTTCATCATCATGGGTCCCTTGTCTAGGATTTTGGGATGGTGTGGGCCCATCACCACCCCGATCTTCCGAGGCTATGTTTGTTATGCTAGTAGCCTGTAAGTCATATGCGACTCGGCTGGCTGGGCCAAGCGCATGTCTTTCCCTAAGGGGTAAGATACAAGGTGGTCTGTATCTCGCCCTCGGTTTCCACACCGACCCCTTATAACTGTCCGCAGACAGGCCCCGACCGGGTAATCGGGGGGCTGGTTCCCTAGTTAGCCGTCATCCTCGTTCAAATCCAAACCAAAGATAAGGCGGGTGGATGAGCGTTGCCCAGCAGTCACCGCGTGTAGGTCAGGAACCTTCGACCGCCATCAATACACCCGAACAAGCTAAACATATTACACGTGGGGAGACATTTTGTTGAAACAATCGGAATGAGTCTCTAACCTTCTACTACCGCTAGACGTGGAGAGGGGGAAAGGCACGGAACGGTACAGCGTCGACAGAAGACAAGTGATTGACGCGAGGAACGTGGAAATGTACACCTCCCTGTCGAACTTTGGGTATGAAGTATACGAGGGACGCTCGGTAAATCTCCACCCAAAATTACTAAAATGCTGGAATAACTTGTTTTGGAAATGGTTTCGCTAGATAGTGGGTAGGGACAGTCGGAATCTCGTTAATCCATTCATGCGTGTCACTAATTAGATGACGAGGCATTTGGCTAATTTTCAATCCAGTGCGGGCATGTATCGTAGATCGCGATTATAGTATCAGTGTGACACATACTTCATACGCCATTAGTACACGTGGAACTGACCCACGGCATCGATGGTTTGAGATGCGGTACAGTGGCTAAAATATAAACAGAGCCCAAATAAATCCAGCAGTTACACGCGGCCGGATTTAATTCAATAGCTCGAGCTCGACGCATAAATGTAGTGTGCATTGATGAGCCCCACTTAAGTGCGCTATGGACACAGCTGTCTTTAAGCTGTTTGGTCAGTCCAAGCGCACGTTCAGTGGGCTCGTTGCAACGCGGCCATATGCCGCGGGCCCCGATGATAAGGGGCAAA